TCTGTCTGTCTGTCTGTCTGTCTGTCTGTCTGTCTGTCTGTATTGTATCAGAGTTTGGTGGCCAATGCTAACTTTTTTAACTGTTTTACTACCACTACAGAATCACATTTTTTACTTTAACCTGTCCCCCACTTGAGTTAGCATTACTTTGATAGTAGCCATTATTCAGTATTTGCCACTTCTCTTTAATAAACTTCTTTTTGTTTGTGCTTCAGGGCTGTTTCGTGAAAATGGAGGTTTGGCACAGTCTGGCCCACCCGGCCCACCGGGTCCACCTGGGCCTCCAGGACGTCCAGGTAGATAACACATTTTATATTTAGTAGAAGTTTCCAGCACATCTTCACATTGTTCTAAGGCGCACAGAGGAGAGGATAAAGTCTAAAGAGCCCAAAGCCCCAGGAATACTTACTGTAGTCTAGACTAGTCAATCAATACAGTTGTTCTATAACATTATAGACATAATAACAGGTAACATCTTTAAAAGTTGTGTGGGATTTGTTTGACACAATGAAAAATACCTACTGAGTCATTTGAAAATGTTTTTTATTAGGAGATTCCAGACAAGGACCTCCAGGACCACCTGGGCCCCCAGGCCAGCCAGGCAAGTTCCTGTCTCAGCGCTGTTGTCACTGCGTGTGAATCTGATCCATTCTTCATGTAAAAACTCTTATTTTGTTCTTTCTAGGTTATGGAAGACCAGGACCTAAAGGAGACAAAGGGGACTCCAGCTTTGTATCCAGCGCTGGTGGTATGATCCACAGTCATAATTCTGTTATATCTAGATTTGGGTTTTACATGTAATTAGTAGTAACAGAGCAATGCCACTGACTTCAGCGCTGTTCTTCTTACAGCAGCCTTGTATCCAGGACCACCAGGACCTCCTGGGCCTCCCGGGGCTAAAGGATCAACAGGTGATTAGTCTTTGTGAAGTGGTCTGATCTCTGCCTCTCTATTAGCTCTTTAACATACAATTTTTTATCTTTGTTTTAGGTCTTCAAGGGCCCAGGGGATACCAAGGTATGATTTTTATCTTTAATTTTTGTCTATATTTTGGCTTTTTTTAAAATCATGCATCCATTTATACCAAGCCTCTCTGCTTATATGCTTATATAACTTATATAACTCTTAAATAATTGACATTTGTGTCTCAGGTGAACCCGGTCAGCCTGGTGTGCCCGGCACCCCGGGAACACCAGGAACCAACGAGAGAGGTCAGGACTTCTAAATAATCACATTACAATTAAATGAAGCCATGTTTACACATGAACTTCAGAGGGGGCAATTGCACAAGCTGACACAACACAACGTCTGAATTAGAGAGCTGGCACATTAAAAAATACAGTATGCTGTATCATGTTACTTCAGATGTTTATGTATCAATTCTGACTTACAGTGTCAACATATGGTGGAGGACGTGGGCTCCCAGGACCACCGGGTCCACCAGGGCCTCCAGGGCCTCAAGGACTCAAAGGTAAAGCTAACAGCACTCTTAAATCAGTGGATGAGATGCGTTATATTAGCTGTATGAACTGTGAGTTTGTCACGCAACAACAATACATTTGTTGTTTATCTTCCAGGGGACACTGGAGCTCCTGGGATTCCAGGCGCTTCAAGAGGTAGATAAAATCATGAACCGTGTCCTCATTTCTGTTTACAATTATAGACAAAGTCACAAGTGTCTTCTTCTTAAAAACAGAAATAGTTCACAGTGGCTTCAAAGTCCACTTGTACTCCACAGGATTTTAACTGTCAGGTTTTTTTTCTTCCCCAGGCTCAATCTCAGTCATGTCAGGTCCTCCTGGTCCTCCAGGTCCTGCTGGCCCTCCAGGCTTGCCGGGCTCCTTTGCTTCTTCTACTGAGATGCGGCAGTACATCAGTGACTATTTAAGTAAGAGTCTTTCTAAAGGGAGATCACTTTCAGAGGGCAGAACATGGTATTGACTTGTTCCATTTCAGGTAGAGCCAGGCAATCTGCCATTCCTGGACCTCCAGGTCCACCTGGACCACCAGGACCCCCTGGAACCTACTCAGGCTCTATAGATGACATCTCTCTTCGTGTCATTGCATACCTACGACGTAAGCATTTTTTAATTATGTGAGAGAGATGAATACTTATTTCAGAGACACAGTCAGTAAACTAGAACCACCTCTAAATGTTTTGTGTAATTTCAGGTTCAGACTCAGGGTTCAGCTTGGGTGTTCAGGGTCCTCCAGGACCACCTGGTCCTCCTGGACCTGCCTCTGGATCCCTGACAGTCAGCGGTCTCATAGCTATGCTTCAGAGTGAGTACAATATATATTTTAGCTGTATCATACCCAGCTTGCATTCAGTGCAGCACCTCTACAGTCTCTTCATCATCATCATCTATCATGCATCATTTTTTGTTTTTTAAGCTTGGATGCACCAAGCTAAACTGTGTCTTTGCTCTGATCTGTCCAGGAGATGACGTGAGGAGATATTTGACAGGACCACCAGGGCCACAAGGGCCACCAGGACCACCAGGGACATCAGTAGGACTTTCAGGCAGTTATAGAGTAGAGGAGATAGCTACATATGTCTTCAATTTCATGAACGGTTAGCAAAGATTCTTACCTAAAAACACTAAACATGGATACAGCAACTGGGCTTAAACTAATGGGTTTTATGTTATTTATAGAGAGAGGGATTGCAAGAGGTCCACCTGGGCCACGTGGTCCTCCTGGGGTTGCAGGGCCTCCTGGTCCAGCAGGGTCTGGCTTCACTACCGCTACTATTGACTATTCTGCACTAATAAAGAGTAAGAGCATTTAATTAGTGTCTGTCTCTTTTTATTAACAGACACCAACATGTTTTATCTGGATAACCAAAATAACCTGCATACAGAATGATCTGGATTCAAAGTTTCTATAAAGTTACTCACTCATCTTCTTCCTCATATCTTCAACTTTTTTTAGATTCAGATTTCCGTTCATGGATCGCATCTGCTGTGCAACAAGGCCCTCCTGGTCCTCCGGGTGTTCCAGGGCTACCCGGCCCTACTGGCCCTCAGGGCCCGCCAGGAGTCTCCACTGCTACTGTGTATGGGGCAGGAGGTCGTGGCTACAGCTTGGAAGAAATCCAGCGTTACTTGCAGGGTATGTCTAACAGAGAGAGTGACAATAGTCTTGTGTTTACGAAGCGACGTCTAACCATGAAAAATCACTTGGATACTAACTGTTTAAGGGTCGACGAAATAATTTTACACCAGTGGAAATAATTTTAAAAGTATCAGAAATGTTATCCATCTACGAATTAAATTTCCATTAGTACTCAAAGAAATGTTATTTGTGAACAAAAATTAGAAGTTTTAGCTCCTGTCTCTTTAAGACCATTTTCGCCCGATTGGTTGCCCCTCACCAGGCTTCCGCAAACAGAATTCAGTGCTCCACCGCTTTATCTGAGGCCAAGATAAAGCCAGAGTAATGTCATCTTGGCACAGTAGTAGAAAGAAATAATTTAAAACCAAGTTCAAGGTTCAAGGTTCTTTATAAGTATTTGGCTCACCACAGTTTATTTTATGTATGCTGACCATATTATTTAGAACATCCAAATTCTATAATACATTCATATTATATATTACTGAAAAATTAGGACAGGTTTAGAGATGCAAATGAAGAAGAAGAAGAAGCGGTCTTTTGTGGGATGGGACATGAAGTTCTGGCTTATTATGAAATACATATCAATCATATCTTTTAATCTTGAGTTTAATACAAGATTAATTTTTAATTTGTAAAATTTAATTTGGACGGTTTTTGCTTTTTTCTATTCATCTTCTTATTTAAACATGCAGTTAGTGGGGATAGGTTAATTGGTCAATCTGTGAGTGAATGTGAGTGCGAATGGTTGTCTGTGTCTCTGTGTGTTAGCCCTGCGACAGACTGGCGACCTGTCCAGGGTGTACCCCGCCTCTCGCCCTGTGACAGCTGGATAGGCTCCAGCGCCCCATGCGACCCTGGAAAGGATAAGCGGAAGTGAATGGATGGATGGATGGATCTTCTTATTTAATCCAAAATCAGTTTGTGCCAGCTTTGTTCATCTTGGTCTCTGTTCTCTGCCAGGTTCTGGGTTTAGAGGTCTTCCTGGCCCTCCTGGTCCTCCAGGTCCACAGGGTCCACCAGGCACTTACGCTGGATCAGTTTCTTACAGTGGGAACTTCCCCAGGGAGAGCATCCGCACTGAAATTCAGCAGTATCTAACCAGTAAGCTTTGGACATCCCACACAGATACAAATATGAAAAAACATTCCCAGCAGCACAGATGAGAGCAGATATCACATTTTCTCTCTCCAGGTGACAGTGTTCGCCGTACCATCACGGGACCTCCAGGGCCTCCCGGTCCAAGGGGTCTGAAAGGAGAGCGTGGAGAGCCAGGCTACCTCCAGACCTACGCACAGAGCCAGACCTACGCTCAGGGTGACTCTCACAACAACCCACAGATCAGACAGATTGATGTCAGCAAGCTTGCTGAGACACTGGACTACTCTAATGTCGCCATAAAAGTTACAGACTACATCAAGAGTAAGTAGATTACCAGTTACTCTACCAGTTTTTGTACCTTTGTGGCAGATGTGCTGTTAGAATTACAGTTCCTATATTGCTGGGAATTCTACATGCTAGACCTGACGTTCAATGTTTCTTAAGGCCTGTTTTTTAGCCAGTATGGTTTTTTGCATTTTTTGGCAAAAAAAATGGCACCATAACAATTATATTATGATATTAGCAATAGTGGATTGGTTAATGCATTCATCTAACAAGTGTAAGATTCCTGGTTCAAGTCAGAGAGGAGACAAAAAACCCTCACAGGGTTGCATCAGGAAGGGTATTATCACAACTCTGAATTCAGATTCAGTTAGAAGAATTTGAATTAAGTCTCTGTCTCCAAATTAAGCACAACAGTGCTGCATCCATTATGAGCAGCCTCTTCTGTGAATGCTCTATGCTTGGCAAACCATTGAAAAATGGTAGCGTGTTGCATGTTAATAACAGATACACAGAGCCTGATCCCAGTACGGGGACCTTGAGGATTTGAGTACTTCTCACTTAGGCCGATGAAAGACATGCAAATTAACTTATATGACTACAGTGCCTTCTTTTTTTCAAATAACTTTTCTGCAGGTCATGGCCTGCTGCAAGGGTATTCAGGTGGGGCTTCTTTGACCACAAATGTTCGAGCTATTCAAGGCCCGCCAGGCCCGCCTGGCCCTCCTGGACCACCTGGTCACAGTCGTGTTTTTGCAGCTTACGGCAATATCACAGCTGATCTCATGGACTTCTTCAGAGGTAAATATATTTATGATTTTCCACCCACTTGAACTGTCTCAACTTCTGAAGTGTTGCTAGACAGTGCAGTTTTACCTCTAACAATGTTTTCTGTCCTTTCACAGTCTATGGCACCATTCCCGGCCCTTCAGGAAGCCCTGGGCCAAAAGGGGAAAGAGGGTACCCAGGACCCAAAGGAGACAAAGGTACACAAAACAGATTTTATTCAGTGCGTACAGGTAGAGTAACATTTTAGTGCAGAAACAACAAGAGTGTTTTGTATGGTTACAGGTGATCCTGGACCTCCAGGTTTACCTGGAATACCAGGGACATATACTGTCCAAATTCCACACAGAGTGCAGAAGAGGGAAGCAGGTAAGCTATTATGATGTCAAACTACAGGAAAAACAACCAATTACATGCAATACTGTGCAAAAGTCTTGAATCAACGCTCATTTCTTGACATTTTGCTTCTAAGGAGCCAGACTTTCTTGTATTTTTTGTTGAGGAACAGTTCTCTAGGATTTCTGTAGGTTTTTCAAAGGTTTTCTTTCAGCATTGGCTGCTTTTTCACTTCTTTTCAGTTCACTCATTGTTCCTGACCATTTTTAGAGGAATATTTATTTTATGTGACAAGCCACTTAACACTGACCTATGAATCAGTCAGGCATAAAAAATTATCAACTGTCATGTTTACACATAGCAGACAACTTATATTTTTAGGCTCTTAGTTATCAGCAGTTAGTTTTTAAACCAACAAGGTGATTCCCAAATAGATCTTAGCCAAAAATACAGACTATCTCAGCCTGGTGTGCAGTGTGACCTTTACAAAATTTGAGGAAACTGGATAAGTGGCAGGTCTAAAAACTATGTACAGAAGATGAACAGTATCTGAAAGTGAATCTGAAGGGAAACTTTGTGCCACACGACACAAGAACGGGACTGAAAATCAGTGGCGACTGGTCTTATTATCAATATGTGCAGGGGAGTTTAGGTGACAGGTACAACAGTGTGTCTATAAGCTATCTAGAAAACACAATGGTTTTGAGGCTATGGAATACCATCTGGACAGTTTTCATCATGACAATGATCCTAAACACACAGTCACTGCAGTAAAACCTGAATAGAAATAGATCCATGATTCATTGTGTTCAGTTTTATTCTATCTCCTCTGAGTCTAGACCTCAACATTATTTGAGCGTAGTGGGATCATCCTGACAGACAGGAACAAAAGGAAGCCAGCGTCCAAAGGTCTTTGAATGTCCTTCGGGAACCCTGGAGAACTATTCCTGAAGACTAAAAGAAAAAACAAGAAAGCTTTCCCTAGTGTTTAGGCTGTGTTAAAGAGTAAAGGTTGTCGTACTAAATATTGACTTCCAAACATGTTAGAATTTTCCAAATGCTTTTTTTTTTTTTACTATATTTCCATGTTTGCACATATTTTCAATTTTCCTAGCAAAATATAAAGAAATGAGGGGTGCCGGTTTTGCACAGTACCGTACATATGAACCAGTACATTCCTACACACTCTTTTTCATCCCCTGCAGGCAATAAACTTGTTGGTCGTCGTCAGAAGCATCGCCGTCAGGCTGGCAGCGGTTAAAGGGCTAACATACTACTGGATCCTAACAGATTTCATTTCATTTTCACTCAGTTTTTTTTAGGTCTTTAACTGTACCAATTTAAGTAGCTAAAATGCTTTTCACTGTTTCCAACTGTAGAAAAGTCAGTTTGAGAAAATAAAAGCAGCCAGAAAAATGCATCAGTGTCTTTAAAACAGCTTCAGTATACATTAAGGGTTTTTCAGGCATATACTTCATTTTGTTTTAATCATGTGGGTGTATAATGTTTACTCTGTTTAATTAGAAGCTTGCAATCAGACTTTTTCCTGGGGCAGCTTTGTTTACAAGAATATATTTTTAAGCAACAAGTAGCAGTCGCTGATATTTTTTGCATCTTTTTCCACACTGAGTGCCTGGTGTACCTTTTTTTTTTTTTTTTTTAAATTGTTGTCATTTGAGGAATATATTGTATTGAGGGCTATATAAGTGTATCCATAAGCATTCGTTGCATACAAATTACAACAGCTTACTCTTTAAATGCATACATATATTACTATGTAAACCTGACAGTCTCAGACAGAGGGAGGGTTACAGTTAATGTTGCTGCAGGCACAACTGATAATTGTGGGTTAGAGACACATTGTTGGCGTGGTTGAAAGAGTGACTTGGATGATCACTAAGAAGTGGATTGGATTGTATATTTTTTGTGTGAAAGGGCACTGAATTTGATATATTTTTCTTTATACCTTTAAGTGTTGCAGAGATTAAGTTATAAAATGTTCCCAGATTATGTTTTTACATGATTTATACCTATTGACATTTTGTCAATATAAAAAAAGAAGGAAAAACAATAGAAAAATAAACCTATTTTTGGACTTGTGAGTTTTGATATTTGTACTACTAAATTTGTCTAAAAATAAAATTAACTCAAGTTGCCGAATAAACAGTCAATATTTTATTTACAAGAAAAAAAATGTCCATATATAAAGACACATTAAATACATTTCATCTGACATAAAAAATGCATATACTAAAGAATATTCATTGTGATAGAATGAAACATTAAAATGCTGTAACATAACAAAATAAAAAAATATTTGAAATCTATTGGTCGAATGGTGTAATTCACATGACAGCCTCCAGAAACTCCAATAAAAATCCAGCATTTATGACAAAAATCAAATCAATGTTTATATATAAGCATACAGAAATTATAACATGCATCGATGCTATACGGTGGCAAATGAAACTACAGTAATTTCTTGTTGTGAACCATCAATACTTTATCGTAAAACGCAGCAGAGGGCATCTCCTCACACACTGAAACTCGTACAGTTAAAGGACTGCTCTCAACAAGTGCAAAAGTTCACCATGAAGAGCGATTACAGCATACCAGGAATACAGGCTTCGATTAGGCATGGCTGTAAAATACTAAGGGCATATTTGAAAAAAAGGAAAAGAAAAAAAAAAGAAGAAGCTAAAAGTAATTTTAATAAAAGGAAAACAATATGTTGAAACAATTCAGCTTGGAGTTTGATTAGGCTTTGGTGAGGCAAAATTTTCTACTGCATATTTTTTTTTCTTTAGCTCATGTGGCAATACAGTGCAAATCAAAAGCTTTACATTCCTTCGGTAATTATTCTTTACAAGACGTCATTAGTTTGTGAGATTGCTGCTCAAAGTCAAAGGGAGAACTGATTTAGTTAACGTCAAAAAAAACCAAAAAACAACCCAAAAAAACCCCCAACCCAACAGGCCACCTCTGTGTTTTGCTGACCGGCACTGAAATCAAATTATGTGCTAAATCAACAGATATATTTTTTGTTCATTCATCTCTTAAGATGGTGAAATGCTTCTGGCAAGCACAGTATTTATTTAAACCTCATATCTAGGTACACACCTACAACACAGTACATTATTTTTCATCTGAACTCACAGCCTCCCGATCCCAACATTTTAACTCCCGTTAGACATCAGACACTGTGCACAGAAGACTACACAGACATAACAAAGTCTTACATCTATACATGGTTGTCTTTTGACTCCGTCGCCCTTCAGCAAGGTCTACTACTACATGCAGCCAAACTAAATCTCAGAGCAGTCTTTGATAACCAGCTTGTGTGAATCGATTACACTGATCTCATGACATCTTGTGATTATGAGCAGAATTGATAACCAGTTTTTTTAAGTGCAAAACATTCAGGTGGGAATTTATTTACTGCAAGCTGCAGAAAATGCAGGGAAGGGCCTAAACGCAGAGAAAAAAAGAACACGAGGCACTGGAGATTATTCATATTGTAGCAGAGCTGAGCTTAACGATAATAATCTGAAAAGCATGACTGATCTCAGCTACCAACCGCAGACTTTTAAAAATCTGAACATGCTCAAAACAAGTGCATATCATTCATTTAGAGTCTTCCCAGCAAGCTGAGGAAACCCAATTAAGTAATGGAACGGTGTGTAGGCACGTCATGCTTGCGAATGGTGGAACTTAAGTAGTGAAACGTGTTCACGTTTTTCAGTTAGCGGTCAGAGAAATGACGCCTCGGCTCGTCCTTCAAACTCCACTCCTTTTTAAACTCTGGAGGAGTCGAGTTTGAGAGCAGAGTTTGACAGCAGTCTGCTTTGCAGCACGGACGAACATTAGGCTACAAGCCAGAGTTATTCAGGTTTGGGATGGGATAAAATTTGGATACTCGACTCTGAGTGGTTGGATTAAGGCATTCAGATTCACCACTCATCTTGAAGAAGACCTCCTGCTCCTGGAGCTTCCGTGTGAACTCCTCCTCTAACGCCTGCAGGGGGCAGCACATACAAATAGAGTCAACCAGTTTGAAGATAATATGAAAAATTCTGTTGAGACAGCCTGCACAGGTGGATCCTGCACTTGGCGTCACTAGAAAGAAAATGGAAGAAATAAAGTCACAAACATGGATAACGAGCATACCTTCTTCCTTGGTCTTAGCTTCTCTCTCCACTCCTTGATCTCTTGGCTGTGTTCCTCATCCAGCTCCTTCAGCTTTTGGGTCTCATGTTCAATCAGAAGGTGGCATTTCTCATTCTGAAAGAAAATGTGTGTTAACACGGTGCTGTCATGATTAATGAATCCTGTATACGTCCCTACACTGCGACATATCTTGCTTTTTATTCCTTTAAAAATAGATGCTGTCTGACATCTTTAATTTGTCCTCTACTTATTTTCTGATAATCTTCATAAGTCACTGTTCATTTATGAATCTGTTGCAGTCACTTTCAGTCAGCAGAGAAAAAACTTAAAGGATTAAAGATTAAAAACTTAAAATGCACATTAAATATGCAGTATTAAATAAATGATAAAAAAAACCTTATAAATTAATAATCATGTTAAACTAGAATTACTGCACTGCAGTTTTACTTCATAGCAAACAGGCTGCAGATTCCATTCGAGTTCAGACTCATAACAAATGTAGTTAAGACTGAAAGTATTTAGTAGATTAGAATCAATCTGCTATAGCAGAAAGATTAGTATCTACCTGCTCTAGAGTTATGGTGCTGAATTAAGTGTTTTTGCAGTGCATTTGCAGTTTCAAAGTGAAACTGACCTTTAACCTTTTGGATAAAAATGAATTAGATTCAACTTTTTTTTTTCCAGAATGACATTTTTGTCATAATTAGTATATTAATTATTTAACTGTTGCCAGAAAGCATTTAATTCAGCTCTGTGATCAGAATAAGATCAATAGTAAGAGTGTGAAGTGACCGGCAACACCTAATAGAAATCGATAGCGCCGGCCTCTAGAAACTCTTTCTACAGGCTGCACATAAACATTTGCAACATGAGCATGGATTAACTGAAGCAATAAAAACAGAGGATAGATATACGAGGAAGCCATAAATATTAATGGCATTTAGTGAGAATATTTCAAACAATAGTACCAAGTACAATTATGATTGCATGTTTTAAATAGCCTCTGCTACAAATGTAGCCTTGTTAATGTTTACTTTTCATTAGCATTAAAAGAAATATGTAGAAAAACTACTGAATCCTGTTGAATTTGAATGTCACAAATGATTATTTTTTTAACTGTATATATTCTTGACAGGAAGTCTTTCACCCTATCACAGCTGGAATAAGCTTCCTGTGACCTAAAGGTAGATGAGTTGTTAAGAAGATGGATGGATGGATGACGTGGTTATGTGTGTTTTGCTCAATACTCTGGAGCTCCATAGAAATGTAGTTTAAAACATATACGATAAACATAAAAAGATAGAGTGTGAATGTGAGCGCGTTGAGCCCCACCTGCAGCTGCTGCAGCTCCCTGATGTTTGAGTCACACTGTAGCTGCAAATCTCTCATCTGGTTCTCATGTTTCTGGTGTTGGTGCATTCTCTCGCCCTTTTGTCTCTTTTCTTCCTGCAAAGCAAACTGGACCATGGAGACAAAAACACAACAGACAGATGTGAGCATGATTTGCGGTTTTCACACAAGGCATAGGAACTGCTAAAAATGATGCATTTTTTTTCTCTATGCCTTTGGTCATAGTGTCTATTTCAAATAAACTGACCGTGACTACAAAACAACACAAGCATGTTGCGTATTAACATTCAGAATGTCAGCGAATAAACTATTTGCACAAACTAAAATTTAAGATTTCCTCCAAGATCGTTCACTGAGCTTTCATCCACAAAACTAAACTGAAAGTGCAACTTGAGAATGATGGCGTCAGTATGGATTGTGAAATGGTGAGTTGGAAAGTTTCTGGTCTGAGATCCAAACAGGCTGGAATAATAAAGGGTACTGTGTTTGTATTGGTCAGCGCCCAGGTGTGAGTCTAAGCCAGTGTGAAACATTACTGCTGAGAGAAAGAGGAGGAAAAAACCCCCCAACAAAAACTGATGTCCAGTCACTTCTTTTAAAAATGGTCAAACATCACTAGCCCGAGCTCGCAGCGCCTCTACCTGTTTTATCCGCTCTCTCTCCTGCTCTGCGGTGATGGATGCTGTGGCGGTGATGCGGAGACTCTTCTTGAACATAGCCATGCGGGTCTTGGCCTCGCTCCGTTGGATCTTGGGCAGACGCACCCTCTCTTGAGTCTGTTTGTTCTTCAGCTCCTCTATCAGACGCTGGTTGTAGCCCTGCATTTGCTCCATCTCCTATAAAACACACGAATGCCCACAGTTTTGTTTTAGTGGGGTTATTTAAATTTTACAGTTACATTTACAGTTCCACTCTGTGCTTGTACCTTTTCATGCCTTTTTAACAGCTGGTGTCTCTGCATGAAGTACTGGTCTTTCAGCTGCTGCTTCAGCAGTTGGTGCTTTTCCTGCAGATGGCGCTCCTCCAGCTCCCACATGGCTGCCTCTCGAGCTACAAAACACATGTGAGCACAAACAAGGCTAAAAAAAAAAACATGTGCATGCATGTTTGCTGGTTACCAACAGGGGTCTGAAAACCAAACAAAAAGGCAAAATTGGATAGGCAGCAGCACATCCCCTTAAACACAGTGTCTCAGTCGTCTGGATGTCACAGTCCGAATTTACACACTTGGCAAGCAAAGGAGGCATCGCTGACATCAACTTCCTCTACACGCTGACTCAAAAATAAAAGTACATCTCAGGCTGTGGTTTCTTTCATGTCTGTGTCTGGCATGAAAATGAGGTTTGAGACACTTGAATCTTGCACAGGATACGTGAGGTAAGTTGTTTGCCTTTTTGTCATGTTTAAAACAGCAGCAGTCTTAAGACAGAGTGGCACAAAATGTGGTATCTCTGACTATGTTCTCAGTGTTCGTGTGAATATAACACTGCAGCGTAATTCGAATCAGTGATCACCAGATTTACAACACAATTACAAGTCAACTGGTAAACACGAGGACCCTGTAAACCTAAAATACCCTGTGATCATTTGTGTAGCTCAATAATCTAATTCCTATGGCATACATTACACAATTACCCTTAAAAAAGATTAACTCCAAAACAGAGCAGTAACAGAGTCGAGTCTTCTACCTCTCATAAACTGCTGTTTGTGGTTAAGGCAGTCTCTCTCAATCGTGGCAATCTCCACTTTATGCTGCTGGATGATTTTCTTTAGAGCTCCATCCAAGTCTTGCTGCTGCTTCTGTAGGAACTCTTGCTCCTGAGGAGAGAAGAGCAGTGAGAAACTGCCTGGGGAAGACATGGAGATCACTCAGAGACAGCAAAAAGTAGAGAGGGGAAGCACAGCAGTGTCACAGTTAGACTGCATCTTAATGATCGAATCTGCCTGAAGCAAAATAATGTAATCTAGCCATTCACTTCAAAATTCAGTACAACACAGAGCACTAAGATGTCACATCATCAACTGGACTCAGCAAAAGAGACACTCAGAGTTCATGGATGGCAACGATCCACAATGGAAGTGAAGAAAGAGAGAAAAGTTAACAGTTTAGTAGAGATACTGTGGCAAAGTTTTATGTAAGACAACATCTACAGTGACATTCACATCGTCCAGAGACCAGCCTACATTATGCATGACTAATTGCATAAGAAGCCAAATTTTTTATTTATTTTATTTAACTTTATCTAGCTAGTGTTAACTGTAAGTTGTATTGCGATTATAAAACTATTATTAGGTAAAACTGATCATATAACTCACTTGATTATAAGAAAACTAAGGTAACGCTGTTATTATACAGTTGAATCCAAATTAAGATGGTTCAAGTTTGATCTCATAATCCACTTATACACAATGAGTGACTCATCTGCCCTGAAAGGCAGGCTGTCTATATTGGCTGACAAAGACAAACATGGATCCAGACAGAATTCATCAAGAGCTGCCACACAGCGGTGCAACCCAGATTTAATCTAGTCTTAAGCAAACGGTGTAATACAAGATAAATACCATATAAAATACACAGACTTGATGTATAACATTTGTGAACTGGTGGAGGAAAAATACTGAGCAAGAGAGGAAGAAAGAACCACTGCACAAACACAGTGATGACAACACTCAAAAAGGAAAAAAAAAAAATCCCAACGTTGCCCATGCTTACATGTGTTGAACCATCAAACTATCCTGTCATGTAACTTCACACACATCTAAGTATGGGCCAGAGATGGAGAGATACGGGGCGGGATGGGGGGGCACTTACATCCTGCATCTGAGCGTTGAAGAGTGCGCATGAGGACAACTGAAAAGACTGTATCATAACCTGGGCCACTGCCTGTGGAGGAGAGCACACAGCGCACTTGCCCTGATCAGGGACAGACAGCACACAGCAGCCTGAGGATCTCTCACGTCAACACTCACTCAGCACTCACACAGATCCTTCCTACATTAAAAATGGGTTTTCCACTTTGGGATTGTTGGTGAGTTTAAGGCTCGTGGCGAGGTCTGGATGAATGTTAGGAAGTCAATCAATTAGTTGTCAAAACTCTTTGTCTTGCCATGCTTCAAAGCGGCTCAGAATTTTAGCATTTTTGTTAAATCCAGCTGGTAAAAAAAGGCGTTTTTTTTCTTTTCATTGTTCTTGCTTTCCGTATTTTTTAAACCAAATTAATTTAGGTTTTCCTTTTCAAGGAAAGGAGGCCTTTTTTTTTTTTTTTTCGGCTTGGGGGCGGAAAACCAAGTTTTGAAAAGGTCTTTCAGTAACGATCTTTACTGTGGAGACAAAAGCTATGTCTGCAGTCGCTCCTTTGTTAAGAGAGCCTGAATGGTGCCTGAGGTAGCTGGTAAATTGAGATCTGACACTTCTGAATCATCATCACCACCACAGACTGTATGATCACCACTGACAAGTGTAGCATTACATAATTAAATTCCACATATGTAGTGTCAGGAACAAAGATGAAGAATTGCATTGTGGGATGTTTTGTTCTTGATGGATGGGTGTGGGATGTGCAGTATTGAGTAGCAGACTACATGTTATGGTTATTACATTTTGGACACTTTTGAAAGGAGAAAACCTTACAGTGCATCTAATAATGATTATTTTTTGTTTTGAGCAGTCATCAGTTAAAATAAATGATTTTTCCATATCAGTGAAGATGGAGATAAACAAGCATTCAGATTTGAAGCAAATCTAAAACATTAAATTTGTGTTTCTTTTGTTTTGTCGATTCATTTTCTGAGGAAAAATAAAAAATATTCAGAACCCGATTAGATTTTTAACACTGACATGTGTTCAGTGGCCGCACCACAAATTTTACTTCCATAAAGATTCTAATATTCATTTTTTGGTGACAGCTGGAAATCTCAAAGTTCAATTATATTTTTCATTACTGAGGAAAACAGTAAAAGGTGGATGTTGCTTCCTTTGAGGCAATTTCATTTTTTGTTCCTCCTACCTTTATTTAATAAAAGGCTGAATATTGTAAAAATCTTTTTAATATAGTCCAATAAAACACTTCCACTGCTATGTGTGACAAAGTAGGAAAATTAAATCTTTATCATAGGATAGAAATCATGAAAGCAAAAAATGTGTCAGAAACCTTGTATGTAACTTCACTGGTGACTGTATGTTATAATTTATTTCTCCTGAACAAATCTTCACACATATGTGTAACATAAAGGAAATTGCTATTTTTTTAAAGCTTCTACCTGAAGCACAAATTTGGTTTTGCCAAAATTCAGTGAGAGCTAACCATTTAACTGTAGCGTGTACATGGTAGTATTAAAATCTTAGAAAATTTTTTTTATAAAGAAGGAGAATATATTCAAAAGTCAATACAGCTCAGTAGGTAGTAGATAGATAGCAGATAGGGAGCAATTACATACACAGATAATACTCCAGACACAGAAGGTGATGCTTTACCTCTGCAGTGTTGAGGAGTGTGAGGTCCTCCTTTAAGCGTTTCATGAGCTCTTTTTTCTTGTGTTTGGGTGAATGTCCAACTTCCTGTATGGCCTAAAGTGTGTATGTGCAGAATCGGTTTGATCTCTATAGTTAGAAAATCTAACAAAGCTGGCCAACAACAGTAAGAGTCATGCACTGCCCAGTCTGAGAGGAGAGATACTGGATCCAGCCACCAACTGATTTGAAGTCAACATGCTTAATTTCCACCTCCTGCATTTAACGTTTCTTTGAACTGTCGACTTGACCCCCATGAGTTAGAGTCATGTTAAAAGAAAGAATTTGACTTGTGCACGGCAGAAGATGTTAGCCTCAAAAACAGCTCGCCCTACATTACTTTGCATTCGATTAAGTCTCGCAGCCATGAACATGATGATTCGTGGGGGGAAAAAAAGAAAAAGATAAAAATAGAATAACTGAGTTGGAATTGTTTTGTAATTACAAATTTGATTTAACAGTGTAATAAAGCAGGTTCAACATGGTTTTCTTCCAATTTGCAATTTATAGAGGACTTATAATTTTGTTAATAATGACTCTGTTGATTATTTATCCATCTTGACCTTAAGATTTCCAAAAGAATACTGCAGCACTATTGAAGACAATTCCATGTCAGTTAGTCAGACCAAAGGCATTTATTATTTGACCCAAATAAGCCCAACACCACTTGGAAAAACCTTTCAAATCTGGCCATCCCATGACCAAAGCAACCTCACACACTCATACAAGAAACATGGTTAGTTAAATACACAGTAACAGTACATTTCAATAAAGATTACAACATGACAAAATGCAAAAAACACATCTTATCCATAGCCTAATTCTTGGATTTTTACATCTAAACACCAAGAAAGCAAATGCAAGCCAACCTATAAAACAGCATTAAGTACAATGGCAATAACAAGTAAGTAGCCTAAGCATCAAACTGGGAGGAGCATGGCAACCACCAAGGCATCATCGTACACAACAGATGGCAATAAGCACTACTGCCCTTAAGAACATAAAAAGGCACACCCAGAGAAGCATTTAAAGGCTACTAAAGAGCACAGAAAGAGCCAGGAAAGACTTATAAAGACCAAGCATGAGAACATCTGCACCATCAAGCAAAAGCTTAAGACATCAACGTGTCAAGATACTATCCTGACTTTTTGTAAACAGTTTTCTAAAAATAACAAACACACCCCAGGAGCAAAGTATTTCTTAAGCTGCAACCAGAAGCCTCTGGGCAGATGAATAATGGATACAACAACATGAATGAGCAGCATCTAGGAGAAGGATAGCACAGCCTGTCTGGGTAACATTTGCACACATACAGCAGGGCGCACCACTCCCATAGGATTAGTATGAGACAGCCAGGTTAGCCACCGGCTAAGTTGTAAACACATGCACCATTAAATGGCTTGTGCAGTACACATCACATGCAGCTGCTCTGGATCACAAGCTCCCAAATTTAAGTACTACTCAGCCCACTTCCACCGAGAAACACACATGCAGGGTCATACCTCTTTCTTGCGGTTCTTCAGCATGTTTTGGAACTTTGAGAGCTCCTTGTCTTGATCTGCTTTGATCCGTTTGGCTTCGTCTCGGAGCCGGCTGGTGTGATCCTGTTCCAGTCGCTCAATGGTCTGTTTCTGCTTCTTCTCAAGATTCTCCACTTCTTGGTCGTATTGACGCTTTTTAGCCTGCAGAATTGATACGCACTAGGGTCACCCTGACTATTCCAAAACAATATTTATTTATATTAGATTTTACATAATCTCTTTGTTTTTTTTGTACGTTTTTTCCATTTTGCTTTTAATGCAAATTAAAGTTTCCAATATTGTGAAAATTAAGCAGTTAAGGAAAATCTGGCAGCACATTTGATGTAAACACTTGCATTAAATTTAGCCCAGATTTGACATTAAGGTGCTTGTATTTCAAGGAGCTAGCCAAATGCCAAAAAAAGAAGAAAGAAAAAAAGCCCATCACTCTAGTGCAGTACAACCAGAGTGACTCACAGTAGTTTCCTGTTCAAAACGCCTGTAGATCTGCTCTCGCTGCTGCTGCAGCTTGTCGCTCAGCTCCTGCTGGGCCCTTTGCTCCTCTTTCTGGAGGAGGCGAAGCTCTCTCAACTCCTGCCGCCTGCAGTGAACATATCAATATAAGGGCATGATATTTACTTATTAAAAAAAATCTAATACTTTTTTCACAAAAACATGGATGGAATTTTATGGTTGCACATCAGTGACTTTTAAAATATATATATATCTAAATGTTTATTTCAACTTTAGTGACTCATTTATACTCTATGGCTTTTCGTGCTTTGATGAATCTTTTTAAAATGTTTGATTCACATTTGTGTCATATATTACTAACAGGAGGGTCGTGCAGTAGTCAGACAGCACTTGTACACACAGTAACAGCAACATGCCTCATGTCTTTACAAGGCAACATGAGAAA